CCATCTCACCGCATCAGAATGTTACTTCTAAGGGGCTGTTCTATCTGCTGCTGCATCTCCAGGGCCTTCATCAGGTCTGCACATAGCAGGTGCTTTATCAACATTTATTGAGGGACTGAGCCTCTGGAATTCTTTTCTCTACTCTACTAATCCCATCATCCTTTAAATCTCACCTCAAATGTTACCTTCTCAATAGGGTATTTACTTCTATGTCTTCATCAGCACTGCTGTGAGGTTTAGATCAAAAAGTTTCTAAGCACCGAGACAGAAAAGGTATGCACTAGTCAGTGGGGGGTAAAACCACAAGAGGATATGGTAGAGTCCCTGTGGAATTCAGTCTATTGGAATGTTACAGAGTAAAGTGGCTTCATCCTCTGAAATACTATGGTAATTAGACCATGCCATTAAAGTGGTAACGAGTCTTGATACCCTTGTAACATATCTTCTACTGTGTGGAACTGCAGTTGGTAGCTGTAGAACACACCACCACCCAGGGGTGCATGTTGCACGCTGAGAGTGAGGTTGTGCCTCCCAGCCCTTAGTCAGCTCCACTGCAGAACTCCAGAGGGATGAAAACTGAAAGGTTAAAGACTAAGGATAAACCCCCACCCACCACCACCACCCCCGGTACTGGGGACTGAACGCAAGCTCTTCACACTGAGCTACATCCCCAGCCCTTTTTATTTTAAGACAAGGTCTTGCTAAGTCACTAAGTTGCCAAAGCTGGGCTAAACTCGTGATCCTCCTACCTCAGCCTCTCAAGAGTGTGGGATTACATATAGGTGCTATCGTGAGCAACTAGAATTCCTTCTTTTTTCCAGCATTAAGACTCTCTACATGAAAGAAGTTTGCTCTTAATAAAAAATTCAAAATTTTGGAAAGTGAAATATGCCAGAATGCGATGCAATTTTAACATTTGTTAATAAGATATATTTACTTGCCAAATATGATGAAATTAAGTGATATATGTATTTGAAAATACTCTATGAAGGACTTTGAACACATGTAAATCAGAAGTATAGTGTTATATTTTCAGAGTCTACACATTTTCTGCTGGAATAGATGACAGTGAATCCTTGAGGGCAGCAGTCATGTTTTACGGTTCTTCTCAACACAGAATCTTTTAACAACCGGTTAGATCTCAGATAGCGAGGGCAAGTCCTTAGGTCCCAACTTGGCAACTCTGCCTTTCAGTAGGAACATCTTTATTCTGAAAATGATCAATGCTTCTGCTGGCTTACTAATATTAGCTCCGTTTTTAAAAAAAACTTACAGAAGACAAAGTGTGCTAATGCCATTAAGAAATTTTAAATTCTAAAGCCAAGAAAAAAAGTGACTCTCTCTAGAAAAAGAACTAGAATAAAAGTTCACAGACAAGAGTTTAAGCACACAAAATTGTAAGAATGACGGCTGACCCTTACAGCACCTACAGATAAACTTTGCCTTCATATTCAGGGCTCACACATTCTCTCTAAGATGGCAAGCATGAGCACGGGCGCTGTAGCAGCTAGATTTTTATAGTGTCAAATACTAAACGTAATTTGCCACATTAATTCATAGAAAAATAAATTAATATAAGCAAACATTCCCAGAACAATTTATTCATCTTCAGTAGTGAATAGCATGCATGACTTGCAAAATCAAGATAACTCACATAAACATCAGCATATGGAAAACATAAATTTCTTACATTTCCTAATTTGAATTTGTATTAGTTCCAAGTTAATTTGCACTGTAAAATGTCTGTTCGTAGACGAGCTGTTTAAGTCTAACTACCTTCAGCAAAAAAGAAAAAAAGGCTCATTTTCTATGTGTTTATTTTGTACATGGTAGCTTTTTCTTACTGTGATTTAGAATACTTTATCAAAAAGATTACTGAAAATATCAGGGATCTGGAAGTTATTTTAGTTTTTAAAATTAAAGTTGACTTCAATACCTATCTGACCTTATCCTGTCAAAATCATCCAATCTGCCCTTCTATAATTACTCATGTTCTACTTGGCTTCAATTAGAAGCATTTCTCCCACTGGTAAATTAAGTTCAAAGATGAGCTGGCAGATGCGAATGAGAATCCTGTCTCAGTTATGTGCGGCAAAGGGAGTTCAGGCAATGATGGAGAAACAGTGATGATGGCATGTCAGGGAAAGAACACGTGAGCAAAGGCAAACGTTAGACACCACAGCAGGCCACAAAAGGAGAGGTACTCATTTACTCTTTGGTCTGAAAACAAATAATAAAAATGTAGACTTTGGGTTAAAAAAGTTAAAATTCTTGCTAAGGTATATTTATGAACATGCAGAGAAGCTAAGCCTGGGCGTCAGTGTCCCAGGAATCCACAATGACACACCAGTACATACAGACTGTTCTGGTGATACCTTAGGTTTGTCTTAACTACTAATGAAGAAAACATTTTAAAATCACCTTGCTGACATAATTCAATTCTTTCTAATTCCAATTATCAATGACCTTTGCTTTTTACTCTTGGTTTCTCAGTGCAAAAACAGAAGCAGAGAGGAGAGGAGGGGAGAAGAGGGGAAGGGGAGGGGAGGGAAGGGAAGGAAGGAAGGAAGGAAGGAAGGAAGGAAGGAAGGAAGGAATTTATCTTAACAGAATCAAAATACTTCTAAACTCAAAGTTTAATTTGGGTCAGTGGAGGTAAAATAAAACTACAGGATACCAAAAAAAAGGCTACCTTCTAACTCACTGCCTTAGTTAACAATCCAAAGATCCCTACAGTGACATTTATGGTAGGCTAAATAATGCTCCTCTCAATACATCTATGTTCTAGTCTCCCTGTACTTGTGAATGTATTAATTTACATGGTTAAAAAAAAAAAAAAAGACTTTGCAGAGGTGAGTAAAGATCCAGGGAGATGATCTGAGGGGGTCCAATGTGATCACAAAGGCCCTCAGAAGATGGAACCAGGAGGATCAGAGTTAGGAGTAAGTGATGTGATAACAGAAGCAAGAGGCCGGAGTGACATAAGGAACACAAGCCAAGGAGTGAAGCTGGCCAAACTTGAGAGGCTGAAAAAGGCAAAAAAGAAGATTCCCCCTTCCAAGCCTCCTTCCTGCAGAAAGAACCAGCCCTGTAACACACTGTCTTCACCCTTGTAAAAATCAGTTTGAACTACTGACTTCTGGAATTATAAGTTAAAAAATCTGTATTGTTTCAAGCCATGAAGTAAGTGTAGTGATTTGGTACAGCAATTATTAGAAGTTAACACATTCTATTACACTTTAAGGATTGTGTTGGTGAATTTTATTACTATTAAACTGAAGCTACAACAAATAATTATAAAGGAAGATTTGAAATTGCCAGGTCTTTCCATACTACCTACCCCTGTGAAAAATGTCAAGATCTAGATCTTTGGAGAGAATAAAACAGACGTAAGAGTAAAGAAAATACATAATTTTATTTAAAGAAAAATACATAATTTTATTTAAAGAAATACATAATTCAATTTAATTCCTATCTGCTATGTAGTGAGCTAGTGTCAGACTCAAAGAGCTTACAAACTATGTGAAAGTTTTACACCAGAGAAAAGCCATCAGCCAGTGATAAGAAAAAAAAAAGGGGACATTCAAGGTATGTAAAAGGAAACAGGCGTGTCTATACGGAAGAAACAGTCAAAAGAATCAGAAGCCAGGGAAGGTACACGTAGGTACTTTGATCTGTAAAATGACATTAAACTTGAACTCAATTCTCCAACCTACTAAGAAAGGAAATCTTCAGACCTGCATTTTCTATCGTGGCTTTTTTAGGCAATTATATTCTATTTCAGTTCCCTGTATGAAATGTCCTTTTTAATCTAAAAACTGAGGGAAATAGAAAACAAAAATACATAATGTATATTTTCTATACCAACTGCAGTCACTTTCTTCTGACAATAGGTGGTGAGCTTGTATTTGTCAGGCAAAAATGCTGATAGCTTAGTAAAACTGAAGCAGTGCAGTATGTTTTAGGCACTGTCAGATGGGCAGCCTAGTGAGATTCAAGGAGATAAAAAAACTGGACTGAAAAAAAGAATGATGTTAAAAGTAGCTGAGTATCATCTTTAATAGATTTATCATGAAATCTGGACATAAATATTTATGCTGAAGGAAAAAAAATACTCAGAAAAACCATGAGAGGCTCTAAATTCCCCTTTTAGCATCTCAGAGATGAAGTAGCTTTTAATAAAATGTATTTGTGGAACAAACATAAAAAGACTGGACTGCCTTTAAGCCACTGTAAGATCTGTTCTTACTAAATTATCATACAACACAGCTTTTAAAAGAAGCATGCTCAAATAAAAGAACAGGAGGTAGGGAGGTAGGTATTTCTCACAGGGGAAGCAGCTCAAGAAGTGGCAGGAGAGGAGAGAGGGAGGGAAAAGGGATGGAAAAGGAATTCAGATGCGTTACGTACACATACCAACTCCACGCAGGGAATGTAAACATTACGTACTACAAGCATGTACTAATAACAGAAAAAGAAACTAAAATAAGCATTCTATATGTCAGTAGTGACATCAGTCAACCTCCGCAAGGCAAGGGTATGCAACATTCGCAGTTCTCCTTTCCATTTTTTTTTTTTTATTATTTAAAAGGGAATTGTCAACCAAAATTGTACAAGGTTTTAAATATCATCCTTTCTCTTCTTTCTCTTAGCCTAGTTCCCACTAGTATGACATAAAGAGAAGTATTTTGAAACTTTACCAACGCTAAGGCTATGTTTAAAAGCCTAAATGTTCCTTCTTCCCCAATACGTCTTTGTGAATAGATGGAAGCAGAAAACCCTTTAAGAATCCCAAAGAGCCAGGCGTGGTGGCGCATGCCTGTAATCCCAGTACTCCGGAGGCTGAAGCAGGAGGATCCCTGCAAGTTCAAGACCAGCCTGGGCTACACAGTGATTTCAAGGCCAGCCTGAACTGCATAGCAAGACCGTCTCAAAAATACCAAAAAATCCCAAAGAAAAGCTGGTTTGTTTCTCTTATATGTCCTTAGCACACTTCTCACCTGCTATTTTGATATTAAGATTGGCATCCAGAAGCAAATTTTCGGCTTTCAAATCACGATGAACAATGTTTCGACAGTGACAGAAATACACGGCCGTGACGATCTGCTTGAACTTCCGACGGGCTTCCTTTTCCGCCATTCTCCCGTGGGCCACCAGGTGGTCTGTGTTGAAGAAGAGCAGAGTGAGTTCTCATTTTGGACGCTGGCAGAATTTCACAAGTTACACTTTGGGGCTACAAAAGACCCCCACCAAATGACTGAATAAAAGAAGTGAAAACAACACACAGTCCTGGTTTGTAGTAATAAAAACTCATTAGTATTAAGAACCTAAACTACCTTAAATATAAATCCTGCTATGCCTAAGTATACTTGCACTGCAATAAGAAAAAAGTGGTCTGAGGGCTTAATCAAGTTTTTAAGAATCTTAACACAGAACACCTTCCTTTTCATATCCCCATGACAAAATTGTATAATAAAGAAGCAAACAAATAACATAAATACCAAAGGTGATTCCTTTGTTAAAAGGTGAATCAAAAAGCAGAGCCGTAATAATCAATCATCATAGCAAAGAGCAGATATGGTCAAGAGGGAAAACACTACCATAAGTTTAAAAGCATGTCTTTTAAGTAGATGACTTAACTTATAACTTATTAAGAAAGATGCTGGGTATGGTGGCACATGGCTGCAATCCCATCACTCTGGAAGATGGAGGCAGGAGGATCACAAGTTCAAGCCCAGTGTGGGCAACTTAGCAACTCAAAATAAAAAATAAATAAATAAGGGTGGAGGATGTAACTCAAGCGAGCAAAAGCCTGGGGTTCCAACCCCGGTGGAAAGGAGAGGAAGTAGAGGAGAAAGGGGAAGATCAGAAGGGATGAACAGGAGAAGTGGAGAAGGAGAGAAAGGAAGAAAGTGGGGGGAGAGAAAGAGGAGGAGGAAGATGATAAAAAAGAGAGAGGGGAGAGAAAACAGAAAGAGATCCACCTCTCAGAGGAACTGTTAGGAGTTTTATCATACACAACTTTTGGTTTTTGCAGTACTGGGAATTGAACCCAGGGCCTTCACACTGAGATACATCTCCAGCCCTTTAAAATTTTTATTTTGAGACAGAGTCTCGCTAAGTCACTACATTGCCTAGTTGTGGTTGAACTTGCAATCTTCCTGCCTCAGCCTCCTAGAGTGCTGGGACTACAGGTGTGTACCATCATGCCTGGCTCAGGATAAGATCTTTGAAGCATTTCCTTCAAGAACTACTGTTATTTCATTATTTCCAAAATTGCCAACTTAATAGAAAAACAAGGAGGAAAAAAGAAGTCTTCTGCTTGTAAGTTTAAAGGTCCAGAACACAGTTTCTTATGAGTTTCGAGTGATAAATGAGCTTACACTCTGATGTGTTTAGGCTCCTGGTGAGATCTGTCATACAGGCTTTAAACAATATAAAGTCTCTGACTAAGGACAGTAGCTTCATGTAAGCTGCTAAAGAACTGGACATTGATGAGATTAGAACACTATGTTTTAAGAGGCTATTCTCTAACAGTACCTGGTTCTTTGACCCCCCTATTTCTCATAAGAGGGGACTCATTATTCTAATAATATGTTTCAGTTGCTAAACTTTGTCTAATTAAAGAGCTTTGAAGAGACAGCTATTCTTGAGAAACATAAAAATAAAACTCTTATGAAGGTTTACCATCAGAAGCTCATTTGGCCAAAGCCACCCATTAATTAAAAAGCCCAAGAGACATTCGTCTGGTAGTAAATACTAATTACTAGAACACATCAAAGTGCTTCTTAAATGCGACAGAATGATTAATTTGGTGATTTCCAAAATAAGTGATTTTCTTTTATTAAAAAAACTATTTATAAACCTCTAAGTACCTTATTTTTCTAAAAATGATTGCAAAGTTTCTCAAAATTGTTGCAGAGGCCAGAAGTGAGTGGAATGCAGCACAGCTCTGTTTATCTCTACGACACATTAGCTGTCCTTGGACAAAATGTCCACACTGCCAGTGCCCTCACCTCTTGATCTGCTAAACAGAAGTAATCTCCACTGCATGCCACAGCCAAAGACTAGGAATAAATTTGTACTTTTATTAAAAGTTAAGGTGTATGACAAAACTTTAATTTTCCAAAGATGTCTCAAAAAGACATTTTTAAAAAATGGTCCACTCTATACAGGAAATACTTCACCATTTTTTAATAGATCACAAAATTCTTCAAGATTATGTGATGCTTATAGGTGATAATTGTATACATCAGTTTTCTCCATTAATAATTCTGGTTCAAAGGTATCTGTAGCAGCTCACTGGGTAAAACTATAATACTTAGGCTACACAGCTTAAATAATTCTCTTCCACAAAGTCACTTACAGTACTCCTGTAGTTATAAATACAAAGAAAATATGCAAATTACTTTTCCTCAGTGTTAACTACAAATATTCGCTATTTCCTCCTATGTTTGGTGATCAAGTTTTCTTCTCTCTAGTAGCACTGTGCCCTTCCCTATACAGCTCTGTGGCTCCGTCTCACTCGAACCTTAGTCTCTGCTTTTATTTTTGCCCATCTTATTTCCCCACCCTCCCTGTTAGTTTGCTTTCAGTGTAAACCTCGGGGTCGGGTGGGTGTGTCAGGAAGCCAGCAGCCTGCAGCGGTTTTCAGTCCCTCCTGAAAATCGCCTTTCAGCTGCCCTCTGACAAATGGCTGCTTTATATTCCTATACGCACAACAGGCAGGCAGCGAAAGTTCAAGTTCAAATGTAATATTTAGCTCTCAGTAAGGAATTTCAGAGCATTAATCCAGCCTGGACTTAACACACAGTCACAGCATTTGAACAAATATGGGGGGTGCTTTCAGAAGGGCAAAGAAAATAAAATGGCTCCTGAATCCACACAATATTCAAAGTGAGGTATATTTTGATTCTTGTTAGGATAAACTCCAGCTGCATGGAACTCTAAGGAGTTACTCGTTTTCCGGGCAATTCGGTGAGCTAGCTCTCCCAAGTCCTGAGTGCAAACACCTTCCATATTCTCAGTCCCAACCGCCCCACACTGAGCCATGACCCTAGCTTAGGGTATTTCTAGATTTCTGTCCTTTCTCTCAAGCCTCAGTGAGACACTTGGTACATAAAGTCCATCACACTGAGTCCTTTTTCACCATCAATGAACTACTTCTGAATTTAGGCCTGGAGAAAATTTGAAGTTTTCCTCTGGCACAACTCCATCCCAAGCAGCTAAACCAGATAGGGATGAGGGGGCTCTCAGATAAAAGGAGAAAATAGTTCTCTTGGTTCTTATCAAAAGTAAAAAGTCTGAGTTCTCTTTCTCACTTTTCAATCATCACAAATATTTGGTATTAGACTCATTTAATCTTTATCTGTTCTTCCTCATGAAATAAAAAACTGACACAACTGACTGATATATCCTCTGGGATAATTTTACTAGAATAGGAAATGAATTCTGTGCTTATGGCAGTACTACAGGCACCAGCATGTAAAGATTCCTTCAGAATTCACTGTGATTTTGCCCCAGTATAACTCAGGAAGAAATATCTTGTGGTACATTTAGGTTCTAACCTTTCAAAGAGCAAAAACACACATAAGCCAGTCTTTGCTTCCCCAGACCAGCTTCACTGGAGTATCAGAGGTATGCCACTAATGGGATAGTGGTGGGAGCTAACATTTCTTAAAATAAGTCACTTTCCACTCTGACCAGACAGTGTCTCCATCTGTTTGCTAAGTCTACAACTCATAGCTGATGCAAAACCCTGCTGAAAAGAACACGCACTAATAGCAGCTCAAGCAATGGGCAGAAACTTTGCATTTCTCAAGATGAATAGCAAACTCAGTCCAGAAATGAGAAAAGGCAGCATGTGTGCTAGTCTTATGTGGCTACCTGAAAAAATTTCAGCCATTCCAAGTTAACCACAGCTAGCAGCTCTCTACTTTGCTGCTCAGTTCTATCATTTCTTCTTCCTACACCCATGGAAACGACTTCCTGTTTATCAAACAAATACTGCTTTCCAAATGAGGCAGGGCAAGGCCAAACTCTGCTGCCCCTGGGCAGGTTAACAGACGTACAGGCATTTTTGCTTCTCTCTTTCTTCCCTCCTTCGTTCCTCGCTCCCTTCTTCCATTCCTTTCCTTTCTTCTGTCTCTTTTTCGTCTTTTTAAAGATTTCACTCTTTTTAATATTGTAACTCTCCTCCAACTTGCAGGCCTGGGCTGCTACTGACTAGAAGGTTTGTCATTTGTCTTCCTTACCAAGAACCCAACTACCTCCCCCCAGACTCCCTGATTTGTTGCTGCTGCTTCTTATCACCTTCCTTCATTCTTCCAGCTGCCTAAAAAAAAGAAACCTTGGGCCATCTTTCCTCTTCTCTTTCTCTCAGAACCCATCTGGTCTCTGGTCCTCCATCAGCACCCTCCACTAACTCTACTGTCAAAACACACCCAGCATTCATCTTTTCCTCACTGTCTCCATCCCACTTTCATGCCACCAAACTTGTCTCTCTTCTGAATTACTGCAGTCTCCTGACAGTGCTCCTGATATCTCTGCTTTCTGTCTTTTTGTCCTCTGTCTCTGTTCTCAAAAATCACGGCCAGACAGTTTGTAACAGCCAAATCTTGGAACCAGCCCAAATGCTCATCAGCTGATGAATGGATAAAGAGGATGTGAGGTTTTTTAATGCAATGAAGTACTATACTCTGCCACAAAGAAGGATAAGCTCAGGACATTTCTAGGTAAATGGATACACCTTGAGACCATTATCTTGAGTGAAATAAATAGGACACACATGTGTAAATACTACACTGTTTCTCTGGTATGAGAAACTGGAAGTGTAAGTAAGGACCAAAATGTTTAACATATATTGTGAAACAGAAAGAAAATATTCAAATAGGGAGGGGAATAAAAGAAGAGAAAAGAGAAAAGAAAGAAGGGAAAAGCAAAAAAAAGAGAAAAGGGAGGAAATAATGGAAACAAAATTTTTGTAAATGGGGAGGACAGAAGGGGTTGAACAGAGGGTAGGGGAATGGGAAGAAAAAGAATCAAGTTATATATGTACAGCTACAAATTCTCTATGATTAATGTGATCATTATGTATATCTAAAATGTACCAATAAAATCGAATTAGAAAAAAAAAAAAATCACAGCCAGGGTAGTCTTTTTT